GAATGTGAACAAAATGCCGTTTTGTTTATACCAACCTGAAATGCAACATTACCCCTACAATAGTTGTTGTATACGAATTATTATCATAAAAATACATCAATATGCTGTTTTCTATGTTTCATGCTTTGATTATTGCAAATATCTTGGATGGCATAATTCAGTGATTAATCTTTCGACCTCGGCGTAGATTTTTATCGTTATTCGTAAAGACTGGAGTTACCAGTTGCTTCAGGTTCTTAGCGTTAGGACTGCTTTATAGATGCTTTATGATCGAGTAAATATTCGAGTGTTAATAATTCATTTGCACGTCTTCGTTCTGGTTTTATATTTCTCTTTTTGTGAATGTGTTGTTTGAGGTAATTGCGAAATCTCAACACCATTGAACATGAGCAAACGGATCGCATCGTCGGATTCCAGCTCTGATGAATCAGGTCGTGGTCAGAAACGTCAAGATTCAGAATCAGACGATTCAAACGATCGGAAACCCGAGGTGAGCAACAACGACTCATTTATTCTCCAATGAACTTCATATGCGGTCAATAGATGAATTGCGTCGTTTATAACTCCAGAATCATTTGGAATCAAATTGGGTATCCTAAATAATAAAATTGCAGCGTTCGAGAGATCGTTCAAATGATTCAGATTCTGACGAAAATGATCAGAAAAAAAGCAAAAAGAAGTCGTCAAAACGACCGAGTCGTGCTGTCACACAAATGAAGAAAGTCATCGAAAGCGGTAGGTTTCGTGCTTCTTACTATTATTATCATTATTACTTTATTTGCTGTTATCTGTATTAATAATATATCGGTTTGATAGCAGCAGAAAGTTTACGAAATTGGCTGTTTGTTTTAGGGACGTCAGATGATGATTCTGGATCGGATGGGGAAATGACGTCGAGTCGAAAACGGAGATCCGAAAAGGGTGGCAAACGAGGCCGAAAGAGAGCGAAAAAGGGTAGCGATGAGAATTCGAATAGCAGCGATGATAGCAATAAGGTTATTTTGCATCTGAGATTATTCACCGATGAGCATTTGATTCGTTGTATTCAAGATCACTATAGAGTTTATTCAGTTTCTTTTGAAAGTCGTATGTTAATCAGTTTCAATACGTTTAGAAATCGGATGTTGATGAATACGATGACGATATGTTTCTGGATGAGGAGGACAAGAAAAGACTGGAAGAGATGACTGAAAAAGACCGAGAAACAGAAATCTTCAAACGAGTAGAGCAACGTGAAATTCTCAGAGCAAGGTATGAACACCCAAATGAATCGATACGGGATGATCCGTTTAAGTTTTTGCGAGAAAAGCCGTAGTTATATCAGGATATGAGCCTCTCAAAGAACGCCCATTCCCCGATTTGTGGGATTCAGATATACTTTGCTTCTACATTGCATCTTATATCTCTAATTTCCCAAGCATTCTACTCGTGGTTGAATTCACAGTGAATGAAAAGAGGTGATGCCTTTCGATGTTCACGTGCAAACAAGAATCCAACAATGCATAAATAAATTGATGTAATTAGTCGTTACTTGAATAAGTTTAAGACAGTTTTCTGTTTTTAAGACATGCGATACAAAAGAAAATAAAAGCCAAGAAAGGTGGTGATGTAGAGGGTACATCGCATAAGGATAAAAGTGAAAGGAAGAAACGGAAGCAGAAAGAAAAAGAGAGTAAACGTGATAAAGAATCAGGTGAGAATTTTTTAAAATCACTTTATTGTCACTGGACTATTAGTTTCCTATAGCGACGTTAAATGTTGGAAAGAGGAGAGAAGGCTTCGGATTTTTTCAGTTGTAAATCCATCTTTTCTATCTGAATATGTTTGTGATTCAAGATTACGAACCTATAAGTTAGGATTGCCAAAGGAGGAAAGGGATTAGGGGAAGAATATTAGTGTTGATAAGGTTAGCATTCACGTATTTCGGTCGAAAATTCCGATTGTTTTTCTATCCATCAACAATGAAACATTTCCACGTTTGATTTCAGTGAAGAAAAAAATCGAAGACAGCGACGAAGACGTTGAACATACACCGAAGCATTCGGATCATGAAGACGAATTTGCAAAATGTACGTTCATTTTCTGAAAAATTTTTCGGTTCCAGCGTTTCGTAATTTGAATTTTCCTCAGCAACATCATAGTTGATTTCACTTGTGAACAGTGTTTGAAGAGAGTGAATTTTAGTTCTCCGAAAACTTTGTTTTCGTTTCAAATACGCCAAAAGCGAACTTTTTGCTACGATGCCGATTTTACTTGACATTTTTCGAGTGGGCATGCTCTGATTTTTGATGCGCAGATGCGCAGTGGGCATGCTATCTTGAAAGTGGATATTACTGTTAGATATTATTGCGACTGATATCATCTGTGCGATCGCGATTGCATATTATCATCATTCATTTAGCGAAATCTCCACCTCCGGCATCACCGAAGTGGGATAATGGTACAAAAGAAGAGCAAGATGATATGTATGATCAGTACCAACACCCATCCGAAATTCAGCGGAAGCAGAAGCACAAATCAGCGATGGCCGATCTGTTGAATAAACGACGTGAAAAGAGAGAAGGTTTCTCGTAGAATTCGCTCATTTGAATGTGATTTTTTTTTGGTCAACAGAACTTCTTAGTGAAAAAGTCATGTGAAAGTTGCGTTGATCATTCTTAAAGTATTACTACAAGCAATACGTTTTCATTTCTGGACAGTACGGAACCTGATGGAAATAAGAAATGTAAAAGTTGATGTTGATAGTTGTTCACTTTTTAAAATTACGTAATCGATATGCAATGGAACTGGATCAATCGCATTCGATTCGGATGAGTGCTTCCATTTAATCCAATTGCACGTTTTTGCGCAACATTTTGAAAAAACTTCAACGTTAATGTTGTTGTTATGGAATGTGAGATTGGCCTATTAGTAGTTGAATTATTGAAAGAGTAACGAGCATTTCAGCTGAACAAAAGAAGAGAGCAGAGTCGAGGAAGTCAGAGTTGGACATCGACGAGGTGTTTGGTAAAGATGACGACGATAGCGATGAGGATAACGAAAAAAGTTCGAGCTCATCAAGTCGCAGCACAAGTCGCTCGTCGAGTCGCAGTTCCAGTAGAAGTCGATCTCGAAGTGTCTCACCACAAAAGAAACGAGAAGTAAGTGGTGATCTTATCTTCATTTCATTCGATTACTTTCTTATCTCATAACTTGAACTCTCATTTTTGTTATTACTTATTTTCATTTACTTATTCCATTTTGCCCAACCAATAATATTCCCAGTCAGTTTAGTAATTGGAATTACAAACTACCGTAATAGTTGTTTTCATTTCATTCTATTGCATTCAAAGGATTCTCTTTCGAGATAGTTTTCGACTTAGACGGTGGCATCATTGAAGTTTCTTTCGGTTGATCATTAGTTGCTTCAATTTTTGGTTATTTCATGAGCATTTCTTTGTGCAATTTCGTTTCAACTGAACTGTTTTATTAGTTAACTGAATGCAAAACTTGTTGTTTTTAGGTGGACTGTTTAACGGATATTCAGCGTATACGTTTGTCACGTTTTAAATTAGCAAATTTCGTACATGCACCGTTCTTCTCGAAAACGGTTATCGGTTGTTTCGTGCGCATTGGTATCGGCAAAAATAAGGAAGGTCGAAGTGTTTATCGGGTGAGTATGAAGTGTGATTTAAACGCATCTTCATTGTTGCTATTATTCTCTTGTTATTGTTATTACTTTTCATAGCTTTATTTTTTGTTGTCAGCACGGATGTGATTGTTAGGTTTCATCGTGCCGTATTTATTGGAGTATCTAGTTTTCAGGCCGCTCAAATAATGGACGTTGTTGAGACGGCGAAGGTTTACCAGTTGGAATCAACACGAACCAATAAGGGTTTGAAACTGAAACACGGTAAAGATGAGCGTGTCTATCGTTTGGAGTTTGTTTCGAATTCGCCGTTCACTGATAGCGAATTCATAAAATGGTTGGACGCAACGAAAGCTGCTGTAAGTTCGCGCATTGATTTGTGAACAGTATCAATGAGAAATATGTAAAATAGTTTTATTGGATATTTGTGAGTGGGAAGAATGACTCGATTTGAATGCGTCATTCGACATTTCAGAAAATACCTGTGATAACGATTGATCACGTTGAAAAGAAGGAAGCAGATATCAAGAAGGCGTTGAACTATCGTTACACAGATGAGGACATCGATAAGGTTTCCGTTGAATTTGTGTATTTTTTCGCGAGTATTTGATTAGGGGACAGTTAGTTTTTTGAATATGGCTGGATGTTGGAAACTGAAATAATTGACTTCATTCTGATTAGAATTAAAATTAAGTACTTGAGTGATTGGTCCATTCAACGTACGGTAGTACAGTCTTTTGGATTTTTATTCATTTGTAATACCGACCAATTGTCATAGATGGTCAAGGAAAAAGCGCGATTCAAACGAGGTCCGCTCAACTACGCAATCGAGAAAGGGCAACTCATGAAAATGAAGGTGAGTCTTTCGATGTTATTCCACTTTTTAATGTATTTCGTATTTCAACAGTCATTTTCCAGACTGTTTTTTTTTCATTGAATGTAACGAGTTTTCTCACTTCAAGCTTATTTCCCAATGAACCGAAGATTCATTTGAAAATGAGCTTGAATGATTATAAGCAGCGATATGATAGTTTGAATGATGCGCGTGCATGTGTTTCCTACGGCTTATTGGTGATATGATAACCGTGCGAAATTTGGGTTCACTCGAAGACCAGCCAAACACAATTTTCAAGATTGCAAATTTTGGTGCTGCGACCGAAATTCAAAATTGTGTGGTTGGAATTCGATCGAACAAATTCGAAAACTACCTAACTTTGGTAGTTATCGAAAATTTTGTTCAAACCTGAAATTCGGTTGGTTATTATCACTACTGTTTACCATTCATGTTATTTTTGTCTTTCATGAATATTATCATTCATGTGCATATTCATATTCATCGCTGGGAAAGATTATTTATTTCGTAGAAATAATTTTTGTTTCATAGAGCACAAATCTTGTCAATTTGTTAACGCCACTTTTCATGTCATCACATCCTGACAAATATTCATACATTGATGTTAGAGTTGGGAATGCGAGGATGGGTTTGTAGTACATCCGGTTCATGTTTGCAGTTCTTTCGCTTTCATTCATCCGCTTCAAGACAGTTATTCCAAATTTTGAGAGCGTTCCAGTTTTGCGTTACGACTGCGTTGTTGTTCTCTTTTGTGGTATTTCTCTTTGTGATTATCGAATATTTTAATGTTGGCACTACGAGTGGGTTGAGTCCATTCAGTTGAGAGAATTATCTGCAAATCGCAATCTATGAAAGGCACTCTCACAGCACTCGTCATCAGTATTCTTAAAATGATCATGACTCATTCTATTCAGAAATTGCTTGGGAAATTGTTCACAGCAATCGAATTATGGTCATTTTTCTTCACAGAGAACGAANTATTCAGAAATTGCTTGGGAAATTGTTCACAGCAATCGAATTATGGTCATTTTTCTTCACAGAGAACGAAGCTTATAAATCTATGATTTTGAAAAAGCACCTATTGAAAATTTTTCGTTTCAAATTTGTGATTCATTTTAAAATTGCACTGCTGGAATATTGAGTTGACCGTAGCGAGTCGTCTTTATGCATGAAATATTTTACGATCAATTTTGGTCTTACCAATTCATACAGGTATGTGATTGCCAAGGGAATTTCAGTGACGCATGTAAGAATGATGATGTGCATGGTAGAATGGCTGATAACAAGTCGGGTTATTCGTATTGTCATGATAATAGTCAAAAATAAGCTGAATGATAGAGTGCTGATCAGTTCCTTAAAAAAACAAAGAAATCATTTTTAGTACAGATCGGAAAGTTAAATGTGATTTTTTCACTTGAAATGAGTTGCTTACTGGGAAATTCTTCAAAACTGCACTAAAATTTTATAAGTGGCATATGAAATAAGGTTGCCCGCGATCAGGAAATCTCTTTGCAAAGTTCATAAAGAGGAAAATATTCCAACCACAAAAAGCATTCCGTTGCGAGTTGCTTCATCGTGTAGCGTTAAATGTGGAAAAACGGAATACGCAGTTGTGATTGCCGTATTGAGGATGAGCACAAAAGAAGCGAACATGAATAAGAGCCTCTCGTCGATGTGGTGTCCGTGAGATTGACCGTACTGATGCAGTACCGTTGAAGCGATTAGATAAATGAGAATGAGAAGCTGAAATTGATGAATTTTCATCGAATATACGAGTTGGAAACTAAATTCATTTCTTTAGCGGATCTTTAGTATGGATCTTGAAAGTGTGAACGGTTTGACGATGGGCTTGTTTAATGAAAATTTGTTATATTGCTTGATGAAAGTGGACTAACGAACCGTTTGCGTGAGTTTAATAAATCCTCGAAGTTTGAAGAAATATTGTAGATTGAGAAAGCGTTTGCGTTGTCTTGGTAGAATGTAATCGGATAAACATTCAAAACAATTGCTATAAATTTTATTGTTGTTGTTGTTACTGCTGATAATAGCGGATTTTATATTATCAGAAGTAGGTGAGAAAGTATTCGTTA